ATAAAAAAAAAATCAAACCATAAACTATCAAATCAAGTTGATTCATTTTAAAATTCACTTTAATCAATAGTAAAAAAAAGAAAAGAAAAGAAAAGAATATATTATCCTTTAACATAAATTCTTAATTCACATTGCATAAACAATTTCATGTTAATTATTTTTTGACTTTTCATTTATTTAAATGTTAAGCTCATTAAAAATTATAAGTTTATTTTCAAAATATTCAACAATTACATTTCAAAATTATAACTAAATATTCTATAATAAATTTTTTTTAAAACAAAATTAACATATAGATGGAATGATAGATTAAGAACATGTATTTTTAAATTAAGCATGAAATTGAATTTTAAAAAATAATGGTGGATAGAACTCGAGAATCACCTAATTTTAACTTGCTTAATTCCATACATTTTTCTGTCTGTCCTTGCCACAAAGATAAATTTTCTCTTGCACCAAAGTGTTTTGTTAGTATTACATCTTCTATGTTATTTCCTTGTACAAATCTCAACTTTTCAAAACTCGCACCTCAATTCTCTCTTATGTTCCATTTCTAATTATCTACATTTTGTTCAAACGAACAAATGTTACAATATTTTGTGCAGATTTATGCAATTATAGTCGATCTACTCTTAAGGCATATTTTAAAGCACATGTTTAGACAACTATTTTGTTATAATCATGTATGTTATTAGATATCGAACTATAATGAAATTGTTATATATTTATTAGAAAAAAAAATTGATGAGTCCTATAATCAATGTTACATTTGAGAAATGAGAAACATTGTAAATTTCAAAAATCATGTCACAACAAAATATTATGTATTGGAACAGATTTGGTAGGTTTTCTAAATTTGAAGATTCATATGAGAACTACTATATAAAATAATTCCTTTATTTTAAATATATCCCTCCAACATAGCTAATTAGTTATTCTCTTACAAAAACGGTCGGACACATCATCAATTCAAATTCTACAAATTATGAGTAGATACTGAAGGTATGTTGTGACATTTGTTTTATGTGATCATATGTAATCGTGGTGATCTAGATGACTAATTAACAAAAATTAGTTTTGAGCATAACCCATTCTATATTTTGTAATTACAACTAATTCATATATTATGACGTGAGATATTACAAATAACCGTGATTCTCATAGAATTGTGACGAATTTATGTGATGATTATTCATATAGGCATAAATGGTTATCAAATGTGACAGTTGTGACATTTGACGAGAAGTTTAACCACATGTGGCTAGTATGAGTTGTGTCTATTCTATATTGCTTTTTGTGTTCACGAACTGTAGACTTTCAAAAAAAAAAAAAAAAAAAAAAAGAGGGAGAATATCATTTAAATTGCTATATTTTGGGAAAAATATTAGAAATGTAATAAAGAATTTTTGAATTAATTAAATTCGTAAACATCTGATTTAATTAGTTTAAATTTCCATATTTTGGGAAAAATATTAGAAATGTAATAAAGAATTTTTGAATTAATTAAATTCGTAAACATCTGATTTAATTTTTTTTTTATCCAACACTTAATTTGCCAAAAGTAAAAGTTAAATATTTTGATTGGTCAAATTGTTTTATGGGAAAATTTCATAAATAAGAGGATAATTATTGTCTGTTTCAAAACTAAAAATACAAGTTTGAAATTTCAAAAATCAGATATTTAATAAAATTTATTTATAATTTATTTAATTAATTATATATTTATTAATTAGATATATCAGGGTCACATATCTACATAATATGGTCACAGATTCACAATTTAGTTAATCACATATTATTTTTCAATCACAAATCATAATTTTTAAATGTCACAATTCAAAAGTTTTATAAGTTACAGAGTATTCATCAATCACAGATAAAGAATTTATACGTCACAATTTATTTATAGGTCACAAATCACATATATTATATGTCACAACTTATTAGATACTCACAAATTAATATTTTTTTAGGTCACACTTTATTTTTTAGTCACAATTTATCTTTTTCATTGGTCACAGATTAACCAATTTAATGGTTCGATAAACCAAATAATTTGTAATCATCACCAACACTTGTCGACAACCATCGCCTCCACCTGCACCACCACTACTGCCACCTAAGAACAACACCACGACCTAAGAACAAGACCACGATCTCAAACAAATCAACACATCCACCTCGACAGACAATCACCACGACCACTCCCGTTTATCATTGCATCGGACCGCACCGCACCACACCACACCGCCCACACAACACAACCAAAACCACCACGACCACCGTACCGCACCGTACAACACAACCAATACCACCACAACCACTGCACCTCACCCAAAAAAAGCCCCAAATCTACCACCGGACACTACCACCACCGCCTGTATCAACCACAGCCACCACGGCCATCACCTCCGCTCAACCATAACACCACCACACACAACCCAACACAACCAACTCACCACCACAGTAAACAACCATCACAAACTCATTGCCGCCAAATAGAGCTCGCCACGCACAGTAGTGTTCTGATCTTGCTGTGCCCAGCGGCAAGCTCAAAGACCGCCACACTTAGCAATGACTAAATCACCAAATCATAGAGCTTAGTTGTCGTTCCTCACTGTTCAACCGATGGATTCGATGTCGGTGAGGAAGAGAATGGATAGAAGAGATCGAAAAAAGAGAACTGTCGTTGGGGATTGGTGCGTTGTGGAGGGCACAACACGATAGTGGTATGAGGTTGAGCACTAGTGGCACAACGCGACACTGGTACGAGGCTGAGCGACGGTGATACAACGTGACAGTGGTGGTGCGAGGCTGGGTTTTGGGGATTGATGTGATGCTATTCAACATAAGACCACGGTGTTGCGAGGCTGAGAGGTGCACAACACGACGGTGATGCAAGGAAGCAGAATGACCCTCGCCGAAAATGGTGGCAGTACCAGAAGTAGTGATGGAAAGAAGATTGAGACAGGGTAAGAAGGATGAATGAATTTTAGGGTTTGGTTGGGCATTGGGGTTGGATTTCATTTATTTTATATATTATGTTTAAGTTTAATTAAAAAATTTATAATTTTTGAAATGTTAAACTCCCCCATTTGATTCAGGACTTTAATCCCATGGTTACGTGTAATTTCTACTTGTTTTATTAAGAGGAAATTACACCGTCCCCGGTGTTTTAACTTTACAGTGCAAAAATCTGGTATGAAGTTTTGTTATTCACAAATTCGGGATAAATATGATAATTAAATATCTCCCCCAATTCCAACCCTAACCATTTCAATTCACCCTCTCTCTCAACTGTTGATTTGTCTCTCACGTAGCTCATCATTGACGACCATCGCAACCTCGCCGCTTGATGAAGACGATGACGCAGCTGCAACACTCCATGAGTGACGGTGTTGCCGTCGTGGCTGAGGACGAGTGTTTGCTCTCTCTGTCTCTCACGTCTCTCCTCATCGGAGACCACCGCAGGTCGCCGCGCGACAATGACACCTCTGTAACCGTGAGCGACGATGTCGCCGCCGTGGCCTACGACGAGGACGAGTGCCGTTGTAGCTGGATCTAACCCATTTTGCTTCTTCTGCCTGTGTGACTGCTTTTGCTTGTGCAATTGTGTGGATCTGAAGACTATAGTGCCTTGAACACGTTGACAACAACGAAGATGGTGGTGGATTAGACGGTGTTTTGTGTGGTGGTGGACCTGGTGGAGAATTGATGATGGCGGTTTTTTTGGTGGTGGCTGTGGTGGTGAATTTATTCTCTGTAGTAGAGAAATCTAGTGGTGGTTTTGGGTGTTGTGATGGTGTTGGTGATTGTATTGTGTTGGTCAATGGTGTGTGGGTGCTGTAATGATGGATTTCCAGTCATGGCTATTGTTGATGTGGTGGTGGTGTATGGTGCGATTGTGATAGTAGTGGTGGCGTGCGGTGTGCAGTGGAGGTGGAAGTGTGCGACCAATTTAACTATGTGTGTTGGTGGTGCTATGGTGCAATGAGGTGTGCAGTGGAGATGGAGGTGGTGGTGCGGTGGTTGGGTGCGTGCAATAGCGGTATGGTACAGTGCGATGGTGTAGTGGTGGCTCAGATGGTGTGTTGTGGTGTTGACCGATTGTTGTGACGCGATAGGGGTGCAATGGTGGTGATGGATAGAGTTTGTGACCAAGTGCTGTGGTGAAATTGGATCGGGATCGGGTGTGGTGTTGCGGTGGTATAGTGCAATTGACAATTGGATGGTGGTGGTTTGTACCCAAGATTGGTGCTGGATGGGACCGATGGAAGGGGTGACCATAAAGTTTGGTCTGTGACCTTAAAATTTGATGATCTGTGACTAAAATAATAATCTGTGATTTCAATGATTTTGTCCATGACCTTAAAATTTAACGATCTGTGACTAAAACAATAATCTGTGACCTTAACTATTTCGTCCGTGACCTTAAAATTTGATAATCCATGACTAAAAAAATCTGTGAGCTATAAAATTTTCGATTTGTAACCTCGAAATAATTCGTGATCAATTAATTTGATGATATGTGATTAATAAATAAATCTGTGACCATTAATTATTTTACTGTGACTTTAATATATTTATTTAATAAATAATTTTAATTAATTAAATACAAACTTGAATTTTGAATTTTCAAACTTCTTACCTGACTTTTAAAATGGTGTAAGAAATACACCTTAAATATGAATTTTGCTCTTTTATTAATTACATACTTGATTGAGGCCCATGTAAAGCCCAGTTAGAAGGCATGCATATCCAACTAACATTGTTCAATTCATAGAGGAAAGGGTACAAGAGGCTAAAGGTTTTCTTCATCGGCATTACGCTGAAAATCAAGGGATTCGTAACCCATTGGCACCAATTTATCTTGTGTTGCAGTGATTTACTCAACTTCTTCATCAACAAAATTGGAAGGTAGTATCCAATTTTATGAGTGTAAAAACGGGCTTATATATTAAATCGCACTCGATCGGATTGTTCGGAATGATTCAATTTCAACTCAACTCATAATTTATTTATTTGTCCAAAATTGTTGTTTCTTGATTGTAATCTTCCTCTAGCAACAGTGATTTTTCGACGATATTTCTCTTGAATTCTTGATGCGGTTGTTCATGGTTTTCTCCTTGCCTTAAAAACTGGCTCCCCTGAAATATCCAAGACCAAAATTCAGCTGGGCCAGTTGCCCCTCTAGTCCCCCAGGTGGATTCTGTAATGACGAATAATTGGATAAGATAAAAGGAAATAAGATTAACGTGGACAAATAAGGGGAAAAAAAAATGGAAAAGAAAAAATGGGATATATGTAGTTGTTAGAAAGTGGCAAACTACTCGGGACTGAACTATACCTAACATGGAATGGCGAATGGACTGGGGGATGCCGATTCGTTTCCGGTGTATGAAATGCTATAACTAATGGCAATGCTTCATGTAGGAATTGGCATGGCAGGTCATGAAATCCGTGCTTAAATTTTTGAGTAGATTTTTTTGATATTACATAGTATTCTGCACCTTTTCGACTTTAATCTTTTGAACTGTTTCATTTTGCAGAAGAAAAAGAACTTAACGAAATGAGAGGAGGGCGGAAGAATCTCAAGAGGGCAGTTGAGGAAGAGATGGTGACTCTTCAGCAAGGCCAAAGCATAATGCAAGTTGTGGATCTCAGGGGCTCCAATCTTACTGAGGTACACTTACTCTTTCTAAGTGACAGACTGAGTTATTTTCAAATTAGAGGTTGTGCTAAAACTTACAATCTGAATGTGAAGGTAATGGATGCAAAAGGCCAGAAATTGCTAGCAATTTTTCCAGCAAAATTCCAGAAAAGCATGTGGATCAAACGAGGTTTTGTTCTTTTGATGAAAGTGTTGAAATTAATGCTGCCATTATCTAATCAAGGCTCTCATAAATGTTTCTTCTAATGGATTTTTCTTAATTTCTAGATGGCCATTATTATTTTTTTTGAATTATTTTCCTGAAGCTAACAGGGATGATGACTCCTTTGGTTTCAATGATAGGGAACTTTGTTGTGGCTGATGAAGGTGGTAGAGAAGAGGCAGCCGAGTCTGGCAGAAAAGTTGGGTGCATCATTACGCGAGTACTCTACCATGAACAAGTTCGTCTGCTTCAAAAATGTCCAAACTGGTACATACTTATTCTAAATTCTTCATAATTACTTCTCCATTGTCCCGCTTTGCAATATAGGAAATGGCTTATTAAGGATGGTGCATGTGTGATGATCATGATATATCCTTTTAGTTGTCTGTTGTGCAGATTTTGTACGTACTAGTACATTTGGCCGATATTCTACATTTGTCGTTTAGCAGCTTTTCTTTACGGCTAGTAAAGAACCATCATGTAACTTGTATCTCCTGCATTCCTGATATATAGCATGTTTGGCTGATCTCAAAAGTAACTTAAATTTATTCTTTAAGTAAATTTTTGTTTTCAAATGTTTGAATTGATTACTTTTTTCTTAGGTTTGAGATAAAAAAAGGTAGATATCCAAAATAAATAACGCATTTCCAACTTTGATCAACAAATGCACTAATCCCCTGGTGCAATTGCTGGTGGTGTAACAAGGGGTTCGCATTTCAAGATTTCTTGCTATAGAAGTACGAACCAGTTTGTGTTGCTGAATTGAGGGGTGTGTGTTTGTGTGTAAATGATGGTTGCATTGTTCTGTTTTTATTTTGAAGTCGTTCAAGACACATTGCATCCGCTGAACATAAATTAACTGCATGCTACATTGCTGGCTATCGATGCAGGCCAGAAACGTTCAAATCCACGCCCCCAGCTAACTTGAAGCCATATTCCCACTCACATACATCCGAAAGAGATGATTCAGAAAGTTCGACAGATGATGATGGACTCCCACCATTGGAAGCCAATACAAACAGATTAAATCCTCTTCAGATGCAGTTGGATACCGATTCTGAATCGGATACAAACAATTCTTAAATCTTATATTGTGACACTGTTATACGCTTATGCATTGTACCAAGTGTAGTCATACTTACGTCCATTTTAAGTAGAGATGTGCTTGCAGCACACAAGATTTTTTGTTTCCTGATGATTTATTGTTTTGTTCTTATTTATTTCTCAAAGCCTAGTTAACATGATGACAGACGTGTAAGAGAGCTAGGAATGGCAAGATGTTACGTCCCGAGGAGAATTGGTGTGGGGATGGAGGACATGGTCGCTACCCTACTCTTATGTTCTATGTTATTTTAATATATTTTAAAATTTAAATCGTTTCAGAAAAAAATAAATAAATAAGTAAATGTGGAGGAAAAGAAATGGTAATTTATAATGTGTTTATAGTTTAGAGTTTAAATTGTAGTGGAAAAGTGACATTAATATCAGAAAAAATTATTGTGCTGTTGTTATACACAACAAACAACCAATTCAAGGCATCAAAATAAATCTTCTTGGTGGATAGTTATAGTTTGCCGCACAATTTCTGATAAGAATATCCGGATGTTAAGAATATCCTTAGAAGAGAATAGCAGAACGAGAGTTTGGTATGAGATTTCTCTTACTGGTGGTGTCATTTTATTTGTATGCTTCGCTTGGTGGAGGGGCAAAACCATCAGAAATGTATTGAACTATAGTCGTTCCTTCCTGAAGTGAGAATTTAAGAACTTCCCGACAAGCATTGCATCTCAGTCGCTGATATTTTTTCTTGGATAAGAGAAAGTCTGCTGGTAGCTGCAACAATTCCAAGCAATGATAACAATTCACAAATGGAGCTCCACCAGCTATAGGCCGGATATATCTCTTTGCTGCCTGATATTTCTCCCTCGAATATGACATTTTCATCTCGTCATCCAATAAGGAAGCCTCAGAGCTCATGTAACGCTGGGGAGTCGAGGAACTCGAGGCATGAGACTGAACACTGTCACAACACATTGAATGTGAAGGAAACTGTGGTGAGCAACAATGCACACAAGAGCAGTTGACTTGGCGACTGCAATGTGCGGCGTCCACGGAATGTGGCATTCTTGAGGCACTGCATTGTCCAGGCCAACATTGTACTTGACTGTGTCTCATATGATACCTAGGATGGTTCAAATCTGCATGCATCTCCCTTTCTGGTACTAAATGATCATCATACAGCGGAGTATACTTTTCATCCATGATAGACGGAAACCCTCTGTTTGTCATATCACTTGAAAAACGCATCCTGTTAAGCTGATCTTCGAGTTCATAGACCATTCTCAACAAGTCCATTTTGTCTGGTTCTGAGTTAGAAGGCTCACCTGGTGAATAAAAGTTCGGATGGTGCTCAAAAAGATTGTGCTGATAACTCAGAGGTTTTCCATTTCCATGACTTTCCATGAAATCACTGGGACTGAATGGTGATCGAGAAAAACTTTCTTTATCAAATCTTGTCCTGTTTTCACTGGTGTGATCGTATCTTTTTGTTTCAGGCAACTCAAACTTTCTTCTGGATGGTTGTAAAATATGGTTGGGAATTTGATCATCCGTTCCATCATAAGATGATACACTACCATCATAAGCATAGTAACTTCTGATTGTAGGAGATTTATACATATCCTCACGTTTATCGCTAAGATCATTAATAGGATCAACAAGAGGCAAGCTTCCCAAAGTATCTACCGAACTTGCTCTGCCAATAGTTTCAGGACTCCAGGAATGCTCCATGTGTTCACCATCTGAAGTGATGAAATCGACTGACACAACGCTATCGTTCAAGGGGCTTTCAGCAGCAACAAATAGATCTCCAGTATGCGTGTTCAAACTGCTTTCCTTGCTCAAGCTTCTAAAGTTTGGATGAATCTTGATATTCTCATTGGGGTCAGTAGTTGGTCCAGTTGGACGTGATGAAGTTTTGAGACTTTTTGAAATGTTCGAAATCTTTACATCATTTTCTGGTACAATATATTGACTTTTGATCCCCTCGATATTTTCTCCAACTTCCATTGGATGCCTTCCATGGCATTTGTCCAAAGGAATCGTGTCATTCCATGCCATGCATTCTCTAACTTCTTGGGTCGATCCATCAACCATATGACAATTAAACTTGTTTGAACTAGGAGATTCATCAGATAAGTTTCTGCCTCTACTCCATTTCCTATTGTAATCCTGCAGAAACCTGGAATCTAATCTGCCGGTATTTTGCTCCAAAGGACATTCATCTTCATCCAAAGATTTTCTTGTCTCAGCAGATGAATCTTTTCTCTCAAAACAGTTAACCTCGGGCTGACTAGAAATCTTATCAGAGAAGTTTTTGTCATGTCCACCGTAATCTCCCGCGTTGTCATTTTCTGTCGAGGATCCTCCACTCAAGGGAGGAGTTAAATCTTGATTAGAGCCAGCCTCTTCCTTCTCTCCTGAAACACGATCCTGCTCGGTTTTGACAACAGCATCTCTTTCTTGTAAGCGTACATTTGCATCATTAGATTCATTTTTCCAATTTTTAGCTACATGCAGGCAAAAACAGAAGGAACATAAGAAGACAAAAAGAAAGATAGGAAGTAGAAAATAAGCCCACAAAACATCAGTAAAAAAAATTGAGGTCTTGGTGTCATGGATTACTATCTTTACTATTGAAAGTAATATAATTAGAACAGAGCACAATTTTTTTTTTTTTTAATAATGGCTCATCCTCAATGTGAGAGTTACGTTCACTTTTCCATTACTGATTTTCTCCACAACGAAGAAGATAATAGGGCCTCATTCTACCACCCATAAACAATCCCCTTAATATACTTGTATAGTAAAAATTTTAGGTTCCATTCTGTCCAACACAATATAGTTATGTTCCACACGGCGAAATATAGGATGATTAGGTTTTACACAGTCCAACATTTGGCAGCTTTAATTCTTAATTCTACCCATGCCAAGTATCTGCATCGCAAAATAGATCATTTTCAGGGGCTAGAACTACACTTTTTAACATATTTTCAATCTTTAAATGCCATACTAATCATCCCACGAGATATTATAATAAGCTTCAAATAAATTTCAAGAAACAATATCATACTATTAATATGAGATAAGTAAAACTGGAAAGTTACTACCTTGGAGAACTGTACCACATCCTCCACACTTGTATAGAGGAACATCTGGCAACTCTGCTAGAACCTGTTGGCATCTAGGACATCTAACCAGTCGGACTTTTGTGGTTGGTGGAGTACTCATTTTTCACCTGATATTTGGCTTATCGAATCATCAAAGATCAACCTTTTCAAACTCTACCTTTAACTTGCTAGAAGTCTAGGAAACAAAGAGAAGATATGTACGAACAAGATATCCAACAAGCCTGATGTTGTTTAAATACCAAAACCTGTTGGAAACCATGAGAAGTGAATTTTAGAGTATTTATGCAGACAAATTCACACAAAAACAGATTACAAGAGAACAGCAAGATAAATCATTACAAGAAAAAAATATACCACTTAACCCACTAAATATTCATCAAATCCTTGCATAACTGTGTCGCATCTTACTTGGAAAAAAAAATCCATTACGTATTAAGAATGTATAAAGTACAAATAGACTCTTTAGTTATTCTAACAGTTTTCCCATTCTAACTTAAACTAGGAAGATTTTTCATGTTTTCCTTAGCCTCTTGCAATAGACAACTAAGAAAAAATCGAAAAATAAAGATTTTTTTGAATAGAATTAACAAAACTGAATCAAACCAATTGCCAAGATCTTATAATAGAAGCCATGACCTGGATGCCATATTCATTCTTTTTAACCAAAGCCTCGCACTGTGTAAAATTTTCATAAATGGATAGCTACCTTCGACAAGAGTGTCATAGCAAAAATCGACATATAGTGTAATGAAATTCATGTAAATCACCCAAGTCCCAACACGTTTGGGCAAATAAATGTTTGAAAAAAAGGGTATTTTGTACAATCTTGAAACTAATCCCACGAAGATTTAAGACATGATTTAGCAAGCAAAGAAAGATGGGAATTAAGAAGCATACATAATATAATGACATATTAAATTAATTCTACCTTCTCTACCGAATTTGTGTAAAACCCATTTGATTAAACACAGATCAGATCATAATCAAACTCATTCTCTCTCTATATATATAGATACAATACAGATATATGAATATGTATATCAGTACATGTATATAGAGAGAAAGGAAATAGAATGAAGCAAGAAAATGAGTGGGAGTAAGGAAATAGACGAACCAACCTGGGAAGAAACAGGGTACCGATGAGAAAATCTTTTTCACCATTAGATCGTCTTCTTCTTCTCCTTCCTGCTATTTTCCACCCCTCTCTCTCTCTCTCTCTCTGTCTCTGTCTCTCTCTCTCACACCCACACAAATACACACACAGAGCACCAACTACCACAATTATGGCGGTGTCTTTCTCAACCGTAAAAGAACAGCTTGTCAATCCCACAACTAAAAGTCGAACTCTTGATTTCGTCTTATTATCTATCTCTCTAAAAGAAAGAATGATTGGACACGGAAGAGACAGGTAAAAGCGGGACCAGAATGATAAGAATTTTTCTTAACTGTACAAAGAATTATGTATTGAATAGAATAGAATAGAATAGAATAGGATGATGCTTAAACACAAACTCCCACGACCCACAAGTCAGCTGCTTATTGTTGCTGTTTCCATTTTAGGGGAAAAAAAAGAAAAATTATGCTGACAAACACATTTATGACATATGTTTAGCCCATTAAAAATCAGATTTTTAATTAATTTTGATAAATGTTGATGAAATATATGGTTAAAAAAGTTAACAATCCCATAAAATATATGATTAAAATTAATTGTTAACTTTTTTTAAATTAAAACTTTAAGATGCACCGAATATAGACTTTTTGTATGTTCCACTTGAATGACCGTAGTTAACAACCTATTCTATAATTCATTTATTTAATTTAGCGAATCAAATATGTCATAATATTTTATATATTTTCACAAAGTGATCAAAACAGCTATTGTCCAACTTTGAAATATTCAAATATCTAAAAATAGCATGAGAAATGAAACTGAAATAAGTAATTATACTTTATTTTGAAGTTGAAAATCCATATCTTCATTGAATTTTTCACAATATTTCTCATAGACAATAAATTTTTATCCGAATATTCATCAAACTTATCAAAACTTTATCTCATCGTTCACTCAGTAACTTGTCGTTTGAACAATCGACAGACTAATAGACATGGCAAATGAAATTGCTAGCATGTCACGTTATTGCCGTCAATTGTGACAAATCAGCCAAAAACTCTTTCCATCCATTAAACTGCTAATAAAATATTGATTAAAGGATAAATGGATATTATAGAAAATCCTCACTCCACCTTCCTCCGAAAAGGATGTCTCAGTTGGAAATTATATTAAGTTTTAACTTTCAAAATTATTATATTTTAAATTTTAATTTTGGTTTAATTAAAATCTTAATTTATAATATAACATACAATTAAATATTTGATTGGACGTTATGAATTGATTAATTTTCATTAGTGTGGGGGGTTTAAATTATACACTATAAAAAGGGAGGACACAACATCAAAATCACACTCTTGAGATACAACTAGAATACATAACTTGAGATAATTGAATCCAAAAATATTCTCTATAATTTTATAATATACTATTTTGGCAAATCGATGAAAGTCTCATTCAATTATCTTCCTATGGTCGCGCCCATAGAAGTAAAGCCACATTGGTTTTATTTTAGAGCCAAGTAGTGCCAAAAGAACCCGCGCGAAGGGAAAGTGATACGACTTTAGGATATCATCCTCGACGTGACTCCCAAGGCTTGTCATTTCTAACTCTCCTCTTATGTTTGCATTCTTGTTGAGATATTACTTATATGTTTATATTTAAAATAGTTGTGTTAAATAATATTTTATATACACACAAATCACCAAATTTCTCAACATTCTAAAGTTGTGTTGTGATTTGTGTAGATGATTTTATGGTAATATTTAAACAACGAAGTGTTTCATGTGATGCTTGATTAATGTGTGCCTTGTGTATAAATAAACTTTTCTCTTAGATAAATCGTAAGTGTGATCTTTAGTCAATAAATGTATATTTCTTCTTTGATACATTTGGATTTAGTTTTCATGAACTTAATGTTAATAGTATTTTCATTTAACTTTTATTTTTATCTTATAGTGGCGGAGTGTGCAAAAGAAATAATGATCAAATATGTAAAAGCATGCTTCTAGTTGGAAAAAAAATAATAATAAAAAAAAAGAAAAAAAATCCATGAATATCTCTTAGTATAAAAATCCTCCATTAATTTTCTTAATTTTGTTTATCAGCTATTAATTATGAGCAAATGCTAATTGACTTTGTCAGCAAAAGTCATTTTAGACTATCATTTCCAATATTTTCTAAACACAGTTTTTTTTTTTTTTTTCCCACTATATTCTCTGGCCGTTTATCTAACAGTAGTTTTCAGTTCACTTGAGTATTACTTGAAATAATTCTGTTTTATGTGGAATTGAAATTTGACAAAATTAATGTTCAGTTTCTCTTGCACCTATCCCAATTTCTCTTCAACACACAATCTATTGTTGAAGATTTAATATTCGCAGTTGTTTGTTTTAGATGCAACAGTCGTGAACCTATTTTTACATCCCTACATGTACAAAATTTGATTAATGTTAATATATATATATATATATATATATGGTTCCCATTTGAACATAAATAAAAGTATATAGTCTGCTATATGTGAATTCAATCTACTTGCTGTATTATCCAATATTTTGAGTTATGAGTCTAGCTGTAATTTATGGCTACAAATCTCATACTTATTCAAAACTTAAGTGAGTACCCAGTACTATTCCGTGGCTCAAAGGGTACATACATTTGGATGCAATTGAGACAACCTATAAATATATTATATACTGAATTGATCTAATGACTTTTATTCTCATAATTCCAACAGAAAATGGTACTCCTTGCCATTCTTGTGGAATTGTTTCTAATTTTTTACGTGGATAGTTAAATTAAAAAAATGAGAAAATTTTGGTCTAAATATAAAGTGAGATATTATTATCGTACATTATAACCATAACTAGTATTTTGTCATGTACATGAATGCGATGAATTACACTGTTTACATGGGAATTCTATGATTTCATTTTGAACAAATGATTAAAAGATTTAACTCACAAATGTGTCTAATTATCCCTTTAGAAAAGTTTTAATTGTAACTCATGTGAATAATAGTGATTTTATTCAATTTAGATACGTAACTCATATTTTGATGTTAGAATAATTAAATTTGATTTAAGTTTTGAAAGCTTTATATCTTAATAATTAAATTTTATATGAGCCCTTATAATTTTAAGTTAGTAAAATGAATGCGTGTGGACGATGAATTTGGATTATATTCTATATTTGCTAGAATTTCACGTGATTGTGCTTAATCGAAAGAATATTTCTTTTGTGGAATATTTGATTTACTATATTTGAAAATTAGTTTACGGTCTAATTAAATTTTGGCACTATGGTTTGCTAATATGGAGTACAAAATTACAAGCATTTTGTATTCAAGATTTATTTTATTCTTATAAAGGCACGTTTACTTAGATTAATGTTGATAAATCATATTTGATATTTTATAGTTATGCTAATTCTAATTCTTATCGTCTAATGTTTTGTGATACATGAATATTATTGTGTTCAATTATGTTGTCCAAGTGGAAGTACTTAAAATCCTTGGAATGTGGGGGTATTAAAGAAAAATTTCGAATATATGTATTGTATCCATGAATAGTTATAATTATCATGAAATTGTCATTTTGAGCAAAGTGTACAGATTGAAGTTGAAGATTGCAGGTGAAGTGAAAGAGCTCAATAGTAGTATTTGTCCAACCATGATACTAAAAGTCAATATTAAAATTAGTCAATATAAAAAATTTCATGAAGTTATCTTATATGTGATATTAACATTTTAGAAAAGTTCTTAGCTGACTTTGCAGATGTATATGAAGAATTGCAAAATAATGGTACCAATTTATTGTCCAAGAGACATGAATATATGTAGTCCGAGATGAACATACATAAATCATTGAGGGGGATGAGTTTAAGCTCATAAGGGAGTCATCTCCGGAAGTAATCCAACATTTGTGATTGGAGATCTCATGAAGAAGGTTCAACGTGGTAGAAACAATCTGTACTGTGTGACTTGTAATAGCACTATTTATTTGTGCTCATCCCTATGGTGATAGTGCTAATAATAATGTGATGTTAGGAATGATTTAATTTTGAATGAGTACCGATGCGAGAATTCTTGCGAGGTGTGGGTCACACACACCTTGAAGGATTCACCTATGTAAGAGTTGTCATGAGGCCGTGGCTATGGGATTGAGCTATTCTCTAGAGACTCTTACTAGAATCAAGATTAGAGCGCATGACCATTAAAAGCGCTACCCGCTATGAACTGAGTCTAAATCGATACTGTGTGTAAAACAATTAAAATTTAACCAAAGAGACCTAATTCAATGTTTAGTCTATTGTGGTTCCCTCAAATGGAAATCGTTATCATTAAGTGAGATTCAAATCCAAAAGACACCTACACCTACAACACAGTATAACGTTGCCACTATATAATATATATTTCTTTATTTTGGAAGATTAAGACTTGTGGGGGACTATTGGAAATTATATTAAGTTTTAACTTTCAAAATTATTATATTTTAATTTTCAGTTTTGGTTTAATTAAAATCTTAATTTATAATATAACATACAATTAAATATTTGAATGGAGGTTATGAATTGATTAATTTTCATTAGTGTGGGGTTTAAATTGTGCACTATAAAAATGGAGGACACAACATTAAAATCACAATTTTGAGATACAACTAGAAAACACAACTTGAGATCATTGAATCCAAAAATATTCTCTACAATTTTATAATATACTATTTTGGAAAATCAATGAAAGACTCGTTCAATTATTTTCCTATGGTCGTGCCTATAGAAGAAGGGCCATATGAGTTTTATGTTGAAGCCGTGTAATGCTGAAAAAATTCTCACGAAAGGAAGGTGACATGACTTTAGAACAGCGTTCTTGCCGTGACTCCCAAAGCTCGCCATTTCTAACTATCCTCTTATGTTTGCATTCTTGTTGAATTATATTACTTATATGTTTATATTTAAAATAGTTGTGTTAAATAATATGTTATCTACACACAAATCACCAATTTTTCCAATAATCTCATATGTTGTTGAAGTTAAAAATAATAATAATAATAATAAAAAACCCATTTTCACACTTTTTAGTGGTTAAACACTTAAAATAATTACTCTCGTGTATACTCAAAGTGAACTTCTTATTCTTCTTCTTTCCTTGTGTATCCTCAAATTGGAAGCAATGTATACACATTAATCATTATGTTGGTGGAATTCCAATAATAGAGAATTGGAGATACAAAAAGAGAAAATTTCATAAGTAAGGGATTAATTATGGCACATTTCAAAAATAAGAAAACAAGTTACAAATTTCAAAAATCAGATTTTTATTAAAATTATTTATAATTTAATTAATTTAGTAATTAAATATATTTAAGTCACAGATTTATATAATTTGATTACAAATTAACGATTTAATTCCTCACTTGTTCTTTTTTGTCACAAATCAAAATTTTATGTCACAAATTATTTTACGGTTATAATTCAACAATTATATAGGTCATAGTTTGTTCATCGGTTACAAATCGAAAAATTTATAAGTCACGATTTATTTATTGGTCACAAATCACAAATATTACATATCACAACTTATTATACAATCACAAATTATCAAGTTATCGATCACAAATTAACAATTTTTTAGGTCACATATTAATTTTCGATCACAATTTATCTTTTTCATTGGTCACATATTATTTATTGGTCAACCAATTCAATAGTCACGGTCAACCAAATAATAAGTGACCGCCACCAACACTTACAATTCACAGTCACAATTTTCAGGTCACGTATCCAATTGTGAGTCACAAATCAACCAAGCAGCCATGACCACTACAACCACCGTCATGACCAACTATGACTTCCAAATTGTGAGTTACAATTGGGAGTCACAATCACAATTTTAAGGTCACAAGTCCAATTATTTGTCAAAATCAACCAAATCGCCACGACCACCACAACCACTTTAATCCACCACAACTACCACCGTCACCACAAAATCGTGTAGACCACCAATATTATTCAATTTCATAGTTTAGTATACTTAATCCTTTCAATAAAATTAAATTTAATCTAACAATCTAACAATTATAAAATCAAGCATAACTTGACAATAAGTAACTTTTTACTTACCTTTCAAAATTGAGGAATTCAAGCCTAATAATGTAGACCACTTAATTCCTAACACGTTGGCAAAATTTTTTTATTTATTTTCCTTCTTCCTCCCTTTTTTTTTATTTTTTTATTTTTTTTATTTTTTTTATTTTTTTCTCTTTTCTCTTTCTCTCCATTCTCGGCTTCTCTCACCTGTGTAAATGAAATGGATTTGTTTTAGTTGGGACTTGGATAATGGATTAAGTTTGGTGGATATATATATTTTATATATATCCACCGTCTGCCCACTTATTATATATATATATTTTTTGAAGTTTGACTTTTTTTTAATGTATTACAAAACTCACTCCCTTAAAAAAATTTCGTCCTCAAAATTCGATCAACTAAGATTTGAATACCCAAATGTACAAAGCGTACCTAATGAATGACTTTCTGTAATAACCTTAACTAGACACAATTTATTCTTTCATATCTTGCATCTTATTTGGCTTTTCGGAGTTGAGATCTCTATAATTTCATCGATAACCTCAAAGCACAAATTAAATCTAATATCTATTTACTGAGCCTTAAAAATAGACAATACTTTCTTTAATACCAAATAACCGTTGTAACTTCACCATTAAACAAGTAGGCCCAAGTTTTAAGTAACACCTCAAGGAGCAATATATGATATTCTCAACTTTTCATTTTACCCCGTCGTAGAAAAATTCAATTATTTCCCAATTTAAAGTTCAAGATACGACCTTTCATGTTACTCGAAATCTTCACCTCCCTTTTTCTTTTCACTATAACAATGGTCACATATTAAGATTCAATAACTTTCTTTTGCAACTTTCATCCCAGTAAATAAGCTTTCGAAATATGTAAGCATCATATATAACCTCAAAAGAGTTATTTGTAGCAAGTTCTAATATGCCAACTTCAATTTTCACCATTTCAAATAAAAATATACCTTAAACTCCGATGATAGTAAGTATTGATGTTTTTCCATTGCGATGAGACCACATTTTCTAAATTCAACCCCAATATAAACAACTATAAATCATGTTTTAATCATGCCTTTTCAACAATCTATAGTATCATCCATAATTTATAAGTTTACTTCAAAATACCTTCTAAGCCTTAATATAAATCATTATCGTGAATCAATTACTTATCATTTTTAGATATAAGAGCAAATATTTCCTCAAAATTTCCTAATAGCAAAACTTTTGATATTTCTATACCCATATAAATTTTGTTCTTTCTTTCTATGAAGAGAAAATAATAACATTTAATCATGAAAATCGATACTCTTATTCCATAAATGGGTCGTTGATCTATCATCCCTATGTAAATGAAATGGATTTGTTTTAGTTGGGACTTGGGTAATGGATTAAGTTTGGTGGATATATATATTTTATATATATCCACCGCCTGCCCACTTATTATATCTTTTTTTTTTTTTTTTTAAATGTATTACAGTTTAACTCGATTACCATTTATAATGAGAATATATCAAACAAAAAAAATATAGTAGATCACAGGAATTATCTAAGGAGCATGGTGCTCATTTTATGCTAAGCACCAGTGACAATGTCATATAATTTCATTGGTGAATTTTAAACTTAATTCAAATGTTGAGGCTCACCATATGTTTATCCATCAATATATACTTAACATAATATGAGCATTAATGCTTAATAGATCATTCCTGTAGAAAACCATGGGATACGTATAAAAATAATCATAATTTCCTTAGGAAAATGTATAATGATGGAAGAAACTCAAGCCCTCAAAACGTTCTCGAAAATATGAGATTATTGTCTCACTTTGCAATGTCCAATGGTATGTGCAAAGATTTTTCAGATTGTATCAGCCCTTTACTCCAAGTTACACCAAATTTGTCGCACAAATTTTTTACACGAATGCAATGCAAAAAAAACTCCTGAGTAAAATAAAAGAGGAAAGAAAATGGAAGATGTTAAAGAATAAAGACAAACTCACAGCAAGAGATTACTGTGAATCGCCTTTTTCAAGCTTTACAATTTTTTCATGGTGTTTCCTCCTGGTTTCTTGAAGTTCCATTCCGGAATCCTCTTCATCCTCCAACTGTTCACGGTCTTCAAACTCCTTAGTCGCTGCTAATGCCTTGATAACTAGATCCTGCAGTTCAGAAATTAGACCACCACCGATCATATACTCTTCTTCGTCCCCAATGAAGAACAACCACTGATCAGGTCCACCTGCCATGGGAATATCAACTGCCAACAACTTCATATGGTGCTGCATAAAAACAGAGAAATATTTGCTGATGTAAGTAGGAGCTGAACATTTCTAACTTCCTATGAAAGTTAAAACTTCAAAAAATCTAGCTCAAGTAAGTAATCTGATTTTACATCTCAGAGCCATGGGAAAGCATCAAGTTTGGCTAGGCCTAAAACTATGTAAAAGTAAATTTTAAGTGATTTTTTATTTCCAAACATGTTCGTAAGTCAACTTTTTTCTTAAATGTCAAATTCAAAAAATTTAATTATTTTGATAAAGTTTGGAGCTCAGTTAAAAGTCATCATAGAGGCAACCCAATCTAACGATCTAGGTTTAAAAGGACTACCAACCTTTGTAAGACAATAGTTGTTTAATTCCTATCCATTCTTATGACAAGAACTTGCATATGTATATAATAGGGTACACTTTTCTTTAATGATTTCTATAAAACAATGAAGAAAATTGTGGAGTGAATAAGTTTACTCATTCTAGAAATCACTATGTAAGTGAGAAGAGAACTTTGTAGGTTAAATTCTTTAAAACTACAGGTGTATAAGGCTAAAATAAACACAAACGCGAGGACTATCTTTAACACAGAAATACCACATGACTTCTTTGTTTTGGTTTACACAAATGACTAACAGTTCAAGATATCAAATCCATTGATTAGTCAAATCAGGTAGATCTCACTGGAGATCAAAGTCTTTAACTACTTGACCGGAGCAAATTGTCTTCTTCTACAAACCGAACAATATTCTATGTTCTATTTTAGCCAATTTCATATTCATGAGGGGGATTGTTGGAAACAAATAGAGATAAATGAAGAAATTGTCTTCATTGTAGTTTCAACACCAGAACACCTAAATTCAATCTATTGCAGGAAACTCCAAAAAAAATCGCTTAGATTGAGCTAGTCAATGCTGCATTCAGCAGAGTCTTCAGCAGGACAAAGGCCACAACTTCGTTTGCGACCTTTTCAATCCCCGGTTTCTTCTCCTTTACTTCCTGCAAACTTGTCATTGAAGAAAATTACCTGATCCTTTTGTACAAAGCCCTACACTTCTTCATTCTTCAAATTTCATTTATGGGGTAAGCTGCTGCGGCGCGCGACATTTCACATCAGAACTTTTAAAACCTGAGGTTTTTCTTTACTTAGATCAATGTACAACGCCGAGCTAATATTTTTAGAATCAAGAATCATTAATGAGGCTATCACTAGAACTGCCTTCTAAAATGTCAACCATAAGTTTGTGGAAAACAATTGATTTACAGTTTAACGTAAACTCGTTTTCTTTAATATTGTTTAAGTAGATTTCACATATTAGACATTCACTCGTCTTCTTCTCACTTCATTTCGTATTACTTTTTCCATTTTCTCCTCTCAAACCCTCATTTGTTGGAGTCATTTGATGTCACCAATTCAAATTGTTACTACAGGTATTGTTCCATCATTAGGAGCCAGAGATTCAAGTAAGGAGGTTCTGGAAATAAATTCATAGGCTATCAAAATCTTCAGCGCAGCTGGTGAGAATTCTGACATGTGCAGCTTGCTTCATCCAACTGGCATGTTGTCATGCGCATTTTTTCATGTTATGTGGAGGCTCTACGAGTGCGTGTTACATGAATGTGCTGCATGTGTTTGTAACATGCAGGTAAGTTGTGTCTGCCATATATGTGCTATCTAACAACTGACCTTGTTTGGCCATGCTTAAAAGTTACTTCTTGAAATAGTGAATTTTGTATTAGAAAATATTAACTTGTAAAAATTATGTTTTGTTCAACAAATAATGCTCAAGCACAACCAAACATGCTTTAACCTTTAAGGAGAGTAGATAAATCTTCAGTAAATCCAGAAACATCATACCATCGTCCTTTACAACTCAGATTATTCTCCTACATTACATACAAAAAGTTTGTTAGAGGAAAGATGGGTTTACTAACTTGAATTGGTTAAGGCTTTTAAGAGGACAATACTAATAGGAAGAAGGAAGTGAAAAAAGGAAACTTGTATTTCTCAAATTCAAGACTTTACACACTTTTTGGCTTGTTACAGAATGGAGGGCACTATTCCTTTATATAGTATTTACAAGAAGATTCTAGTCCACACATTTTCTAGAGACACCTTGACCACACATCAAGATATTTTTCTAGAATTTTCTAGATATTCTTTATATATCTTACTTAGATATTTATATAGATTTTTCTAGTAGATATTTATATAAATTTTTCTAGTAGATATTTATATAGATTTTTCTAGATAATACTTCTAGAAATGCTATGCATGTTGGGCTTTTTAATTGATTTGGGCTTATAAGCAAAATTCTTAAGTCCATATTATTTAGGCCAAAAATCAAGTTTACTTGATGTAGTATGGCAGACACTTGATGTAGCTGCAACATATTCAGCTTAACATGTAGATAGTGCTACGATCGATTGCTTCTTTGAGCTCCAAGTGAAAGCTGTGTTGCCCAAGTAAAACACATACCCAGTCGTACTTTTTCTATCATCACTATCTCCGCCCCAATCGCTGTCACTATATCCAACAAGGTTGAACTCATTAGATGATGAATAGACTAAGCCATAATCAAGCGTACCTTTGATGTAGAAAAGAATTCTCTTTGCAGTTTTCATATGGGTCATGGGAGGTGTCTCCATATAGCGACTAATAAGCCCAACTCCAAAAAGGATATCTGGTCTTGTGCACGTCAAATATCTTAGATTTCCAACAAGACTCTTAAAAAGTGTTGGATTTACTTTTTCATCTTCATCATCCTTCGACAACTTGATTCCGCATTTGACGGGGGTGCATACGTGCTTACAGTCCTCTATATTGAATTTCTTTAGAATTTCTTTCGCATATCCTTCTTGTGAGATGAAAATGTAGTCCTCCATTTGCTTTACCTCTATCCCAAGATAGTAGGCCATGAGACCGATATCCATCATCTCAAATTCTTGAGCCATGACCTTCTTAAACTCAGTGATCATACTTTGATTATTTCTTGTGAATATAAGATCATCTACATACAAACAAACAAGCAAAATATCTCATTTCTCATTTACCTTCGTATAAAGGGCATACTTGTGAGGGCATTTTGTAAAGTCATTTTCTAGAAAATACTTGTCAATTCTACTATTCCATGCCCTTGGAGCCTGGTTTAACCCATATAAAGCCTTTTTTAGTTTCAGGACTTTACCTTCGTGTCATTTTATTTTATAGCCCATTGATTGCTTCACATAAATTTCTTCTTCGAGATAGTCATTTAGAAATGTAGATTTCACGTCCATTTGGAATATCTTTCACTTATTTTGCGCTACAAAAGAGATAATTAATCTTATGGTTTCTAAACGAGCAACAGGAGCAAATACCTCTTCATAATCGATTCCCGACTGTTGGTTGTAGCCTTTGGCAACCAATCTTACTTTGTATCTTTCTACGTCAAATACCTCTTCATAATCGATTCCCGACTGTTGGTTGTAGCCTTTGGCAACCAATCTTACTTTGTATCTTTCTACGTCTCCTTTAGCGTTCTTCTTTGTTTTGTACACCCACTTAACTCCGATTGCTCTCTTTTTTTTGGAAAGAGTTGTCAGCTCCCATGTGTCATTTTTCTAAATAGCCTTAATCTCTTCATCCATGGCATCTCACCATCTTTTATTTTGTACCGCTTCTTCATAGCCTATTGGTTCACAATCGACAAAAAGACAAAAAAGTGGGAGATCATTTTGATTTTCGGTTACCTCATATAGCTCTTGTAGGCTCCTCATCCGTGGTGTTCTTTTGCTTGAACTTTCTCCTTGTGAAGATGATGGAGAAGCACCTCCATGAGTAGGTCATAGAGGTAGAATGATAATCTCTTGCTGCTCTCCATTCTCTTGCTCTTCTTTATCAAAGAATGGTAAGAAGTCATAGTCTTCTTCTTGGACACCCCAATCCCAAGCTCCTTCTTCATCAAACTTGACATCTACTTATGGTGATCTTCTCATTCCTTGGATTATACAACTTGTAGCCTTTAGAGCGAAAATCATAGCCGATGAAGACATACCTTTCACTTTTGTCATCTAACTTGGACCGTTTTTGATCTGGTACATGAGCATATGCAATGTTCCCAAATACTTGTAAGTGAGAGATGCTAGGCTTTCTTCCACTCCATGCTTCTTGTGGTGTCTTATTCCACACACTTTTAGAAGGTGATCGGTTAGACAGATACACGGCGCAATTAACAGCTTCAGCCCAAAGTTCTTTGGGCAATCTCTTATTTTTGAGCATGTAGCGGGCCATGTTAAGAATGGATCTGTTCTTTCTTTCGGCTACTCCATTTTGTTGTGGAGAGTATGGAACTGTCAATAGGCGACGAATTCCATTCTCCTCACAATATTTCTCAAACTTTTTGGAGGTGAACTCTCCTCCTCTATTCAATCTCAAGGCTTTTATACTATATCCGCTTTCTTTTTCAACAAGAGCTTTGAACTTCTTCAAAGTTTCAAAAACTTCCAATTTTTGTTTGAGAAAATAGACTCAAGTCTTTCTACTGAAATCATCAATAAAAAGAACAAAATAATTGCTCTTACCGAGAGAGCTTGGATTAATTGGCCCACAAACATCGGAGTGTACAAGTTCTAGTGGCTTATTAGCTCTTGTAGATGCTTCTTTTGGAAAACTTTTTCTCGAATGCTTTCTAAGTAAGCATCCTTTACATAATTGATCCACATGATTTATTGGAGGCAACCTTTCACAATTTTCTTCTTACTCAACAATTTTAAGCCTCCAAAATTAAGATGCCCAAATCTCAAGTGTCAAAGTCAAGATGAATCTTTAAAATAAGCTTTTAAGTATTTAGCGACATCATTTTGAATGCTTAACGCAAACATTCTCTTTCTTGTCATAGAGACTTTGACAATCAAATTTTCTCTTCGATCTCTTATTGAAAGACTATGATCTTTCAAATGAATATCATAGCCCTTTTCTAAGAGTTGTCCCAAACTTAAAATGTTATTCTTCATATTTGGCACATAATGGACATTTGAGATAAATTGATGCGTACCATTTTTCAAGCGGATCAAGATTTTACTTTTTCCTTTCACTGGGATCTTGGATTTATCTCCAAAGGTAATGTTGCCGCTTACTAATTCATCAAACTCCACAAACATGTTTTTTCTTCCACACATATGATTGTTTGCTCCTGTATCCAAATACCAAGTATTCTTTTCTCTGCTCTCTTCACCTTTGTAAGCCAACAGTAGTGCAGGATCTACTTCACTTTCCCGACAAGCGTAGTTGGCTTTCTCCTCAACTTGGTTAGTAATATTTCTACATTCTGAAGCACAATGACCAAGTTTTTGACAATTGTAACATTTAATTTGAGATTTGTCATACCTTGGTCCTTCATTTTGTCTCGTACCTTTTCCTCTTCCGCGACCTCTGGTAGAAAATGAACTTTGTCTTCTTTCCTCCTTGTAGAATGCAATTCTTCCTCGATCTTGGCCTTGTTCTCTTCCTCTTTGGCTTCTTCTACTATTGAACCTTCATTCACCCTCGTTCAAAGTGAGATTTGTTTGAAGAGCTTGCTTTAATGACTCTTCTTTCACCTTCTTCTTTAGTCTTTCCTCATGGGCTTGTGAAAATCCCATGAGTTGATCGACACTCATACTATCTAGATCTTTAGATTCCTCAATGGCTACAACTATGTAGTCAAATTTAGAATCTAAAGACCTAAGTATCTTTTTAATTACTCGAGTGTCGTTCAACTTTTCTCCATTCTTTTTTAATTGATTCACAATAGCTAATATTCTAGAGAAGTAATTAGAATTTGATTCCGATTCTTTCATATGTAAAGCTTCAAACTCACCTCAAAGTGTTTGAAGTCGAACCTTTTTCACCTTCTCAACTCCTTTGTGGGAGTTTTGGAAGATCTCTCATACTTCCTTACTCGTAGTAGCAGAAGCTACTTTCTCGAACATGCCTTCAAATAAGGCTTGATAGATGAGGGCGAGCGCCTTCTTGTCCTTCTTCCTTGCATCCTTCAAACTATCCCTTTGTGCTTGGGATAGAGCAACCTCATCTTGTGGCTCCGTGTAGCCTTTCTCTATGATCTCCCATGCATCTTGTGACCCGAGCAATGCTTTCATTCTTATACTCCAATTGTCGTAATTATCCTTGTTGAGTTGGGGGACTTGAAAAGGAATCATCTCACTTGCCATTTTTCACAAGAACCTTGGGGCTCTGATACCTGTTTGTTGGAGGAAAGATGTGTTTACTAACTTGGATTGGCTAAGGCTTTTAAGAAGACAACACTAATAGGAAGAAGGAAGTGAAAAAAAGGAAACTTATATTTCTCAAATTCAAGACTTTACACACTTTTTGGCTTGTTACAAAATGGAGGGCACTACCCCTTTATATAGTATTTACAAGAAGATTCTAGTCCACATATTTTCTAGAGGCACCTAGACCACACATCAAGATATTTTTCTAGAATTCTCTAGATATTCTTTATATATCTTACTTAGATATTTATATAGATTTTTCTAGTAGATATTTATATAGATTTTTCTAGATAATACTTCTAGAAATGCTATGCATGTTGGGCCTTTTAATTGATTTGAGCCTATAAGCAAAATCCTTAAACCCATATTATTTAGTCCAAAAAGCAAGTTTACTACTCAACAAAGTTTAACTATTGTCCATATTAGGGAGAACCTAAGAAAACTCATATGTTTCTATAGTAACAAAATGTCGCAGCATATAATATACTGCACTTGTACCTCCTGATAACTATAAATAATGCAACTAACAGAACATAGTTCAACACAACATCACCTAAATTCAAGAGCCTAAAAAAAATCCCATGAAGAAAACTCCATGAATTGCTTAGATATAGCTATTCAATGCTTCAATGTCTGAACACTACCTTCAGCAGGATGCAAGCTACAAAAGGTTTTGTGAGCTTTTTAGTTACCAGTTCCTCCTCTGGTTATGGCGAACCAATCAGTGAACAGTTTCCTGGTCTTTTCAGTGAATCCCTAGACTTCTTCGATTTTCATGATTTCATTGGTAGGATTAGCTACTGCGGTGTGACATTCTTATTGTTGGGCCTTCCATGTAGCCTCTTTGTAATTACCACATCCGAACTTTGAAAACTTTAAGTTTCTTTACTCATATCATTGTAAAACTCCCAGCTTGTATTGTAGCGTTCGAAACCATTAATGAGGTTATCGCAAGAACCACCTTCCAAAACATCCACGGCCAACAATTGGTTTACAGGTAAACATACACTAGTTTTCTTTTACATTTTTGAATTAATTTGCGCATATTATACACTCATTTTCTTTTACTTTGTTTCCTCTTTCCTTTCTCCATTTTCTCCTCTTAAACCCTCATTTTTTGGAGCCGTATGATGTTACCAATTCAATTGTTACTGTTATTATATTCCTCTTCCATAGGTGTTCGAGCTTCAAGGGGATACTGGAAAATAAGTTGGCAAGCCATCTTCATCTTTAGCTGGTGGGAGGATTCTTACATCATGTGCAGCCACTTAGTTCAACTGAGACATAGTCATGCGCATCTGCGTGTGTTAATGTGTATATGATGCATGTGCGGGTCCCGTGCAGGCACAATGTGTGGATCCTATGTGTTCCATCAAATTGCAGAGCATGTTTGGCCATGCTTAAAAGTTCATTCTTGACAAGAAATAACTTTCAAGCTCAACATAACATCATCACTAATGAGAATAAATATAAGATCAGTAAACCTAAATACAATAGATCATCATCTGTTACAACTCAGCCTATGTTCCTCCAGTACAACCAAAAAGTACAGCTACTGTCTGCAACTTTTGAAAACTCCTGAAGTTTCTATAATAATAAAATGTCACAGCCTATAATACGAAACCCTTGAATTTCCAAATTACTATAAACAGTGCCACTAACTAAACATCGTTCAACAAAAGAACACCCGAAACAATGGC